TCCCTTTTTGAAGACCCGTCCTTTAAGTGGAGCAGCAAGGCCGCAACCCTGAGGTCATTCCTCCTGATGGGCTGATGGCCTGACTGAAGTCAAGGTCACACATCAAGGCACTGGTGTGCCAAGAAAAGACTCCTTGTTTAATGATCTACCCACAAGGCCTGGCTCCCTTCCACAGGTGCGAAGTCAGCCCTAAGATTCTGCAGAGGAGCGTGCTGACGAAGGCTCTGTCTACATGACTCAGTCTTCTGAAACACTTGTGGAGGGGGAATCAGACACAGAAGTCACACACGGATGCTAGTCAACTGGTAATGACACCAAGGCCCATCTTCCTTGGAGTCATAATGGAGCACTACGCTGGCCAGCAAGCCCTGGTGGATTTGCTCCTGTGTCCCACCTGCCTCTCAGTTCCTGTCTCCGATGCAGGCCTTACTCTGGAGGTGCCCAAGAGGCACCTAGTTAGCATGTTGTTGCTGCTGCTGCTGCTGCTGCTGCTGCGCTCCTGGAATTTTAATGTCTGTGGATTTGCATTAATAACCCTCTTCCATTCCGCCAATCAGGGAGGTTCAGAAGGATCCATTCACATTAGTGACCAAGGAGAAGCAGCCTTCCCCATCTACCCAAATACACCGGGGAAAGCATAAGTCTCCCCTCTAGACTTCTGAACGTCCATCACTGTCTTACAGTCCCACCAACCTCTGACTTAGCCTCTCCATGGATTCCCAATGTCTGCCCAGCACGAGGCTGCAGGTACGATTGTCTTGTTAGGATTTGCTCTCTGAAAGCTAGTTTTCTCTCTGGCTTCTGTGGCCACTATACACATTTTCCGCAAGTTCCTAGTAGTCTCTTGCTAACCCCTTCTTTCTCCTGACTTGCTTCTATTTGCTCTTTTAATGTCCCATGGCACATGTCATAAAAAGGTATCATACTCCCTCCTGGTGACAAGGATTGACACTGTCTTTCTTTCCATTCCTGACAGGTTCTCTCACTATGCACAGTGGGCTGTGGTACGCATTTCTTCCCTGACCAGAGGCATGTAACAGGGCAATGTCTGGGCTAGAATCACTAAACTTATAATTCAGTACTCCCATTGCCAACGTGTTGCCTTGAGTCCCACTTAGCTGCCTGGATATGGGCTCACTTGTTTCCCCTAAACTCAGATACTTTCTGCTTGCAAAGTACTTTTCTGCCGGGAAAAATAGTTGTGAGATGTAGATTTAATAAAGGACTTCAATCTAGGATATATAAGGAATGCTTATAGCTCAAAAAGGCAAACAATGCAGTTAAGAAACAGACATGTGGTTTGTCTATAAAATGGAGTACAACTCAGCCGTAGAGAATGAGAAACTAGAGTCATTCATAGGAAAATGGATGCATATTGAGGCCATACTCTTAAGTGAAATAAATAAGACACACATGTGTAAATACTGAGTAGCTTCTCTAGTGTGAAAAACTAAAAATGTAAATTGTATCCTATATACACATTGTATAACTGATATTGTGAAATAGGAAGAAAAGGGCTAAAGGTGTCGGGGAAGTGGGAAGAGTAGGGGAAAGGAAATAAGGGAAAAGAAAAAATATGAGAAAAGGAAAAAATGGAAACAAAGTCTTTGTAAATAGGGAAGGGTGGAGGGGGTAAAGGGAGGGCAGGGACAAGGGGAAAAAATAAGAGCCAAGATCTGTCATGTAAAGGTACAAGATCCCAATGATGAATGTAACTGTCCTGTATACTTAAAAAGTATCAAAAAACTCAAGATTTAAAAAAAAAGAAACTAACAAAAGCTTTCACAAAGGAAGATATTCAAGTGAAATAGAAGTACATAAAATGATGTTCAACCCATCAGTCTTTAGGGAAATGAAAATTAAATCCAGAATGAGAGACCGGGACAGGCACATGGGAATGTCTAAGTTACAAAGACGATACTCAGTCCTGTTAACAGTGTGGCCTTTAGAACTCTCGTACATTGCTGCGGGAATACAAAATGGTGCAGCTCCTTTACAAAAACAAGTGGCATACGATATGAGCCGTGGCATACGATATGAGTCAGCAATGTTACTCTTAGGTGTCTCCCCAAGAAACAAGAGAACATACATTCCCCTGAAGACTGGCACGTTAAGGTTCATCGCAGATTTATGTATAGAGCCCTCAAATGGGAACAACTCAAATGTCTGTGGCAGGTAAGTGGAGAAGTAACTCGATGCATCAGTGTTATTATGCTAAGGAAAGAAGCCAAACACAAGAGCATGTATCCTTTATATGAAATTCCAGGAAACACGAAATTATAGCAAGACAGGCAATGATTTCCAGGGTCAGGTGGATAAAGTGGGCTTCATTGTAAAGGGTTATGAGGGCTGTTTTTTTGTTTTGTTTTATTTTTTACTTAACATAAATATTACATATCATGATTAAGGTAGTTTTTGATAAGTAACTGAACAGTAAATTGAACATTTAAAACCGGGGTACTTTATTGTAAGCCAGTTAGACTCCAATGAAGAAGATGCTTTTTCTAAAAGCAAGCAAACATATCAAAGAAACAAATGAATAGCGCTTTAAAATTTAGCTTTGATAACTACTCATGTACGGTGAGACCAACAGACCAAAAGAGAATGCCACGGAAGGGCTGGCTTTGTTACGACTTGCATTCCAAGAGGAGGGGACCGTGCGGGCCACATGGGGAAGCCCCAGCGTTGGAAAGAGGGCGAAGAAACAAGGGAGAAAAGGGGAGGAGCCTTTACTGTGGTCTCGCTGAGAAGCAAGGCCAGGCAAGGTGAGCACTGCAAGGCCAGGCGTGATTTGTAATGTGACTGGGCCCTGTGGTTTAGGAGCTCTCCCTGACCGCCTGGTACCTGCTGTGGGGACATCAAGGTAGGCGAGTAGTGTCCCGGAGTGGGACAGCGTGACAGAGGTGGTCCCTGAGGTGTGAGCTCTCCCAGTCGCTTCGCATATGAAATTCGGGCTTGCGGCAAGTCTCTTAGTACCCTTGAGAACTGGATGGCCCCGGAAGGGCAGGCCCTGCGCGCGTTGAAGGATCAGAGACACAGAAGATGAAAGGCAGGACCAGTGGGCTGGGGATTTAGCTGAGCGGTTCCGCCGCCTGCCTTGCAAGCGCAATGACCCGAGTTCGATCCACGGTATCAAAACAAAAAACAAAAAAACCCCAAAAAACCTGAGAAAGGCATGACAGATGCAGACACAGCAGGGCACAGATCAACAGATATGTGATAAAGTACCTGCGGCAAAGTGTTCACTGTAGAATCTAAGTGTTAGGTAAGTAGGGTTCACTGCATAATTCTTTCATTTCCTGTATGTCTGAAAATTTCTATAACAAAAGTTGAGAAAACGTTGCTTCTTTAGATATCTCGCCTCAAGGTGGTTTATCAAAGCTCTGCTTCCCCACCCTTGTCCCACTGGCCTGGGCTCCAGGCCTACTGGCTTGGAATGTTACTGTTAGCTGCATCTCTTATCTTTTTTTATTTTTTGGTACCAGGGCTCGAACTCGTGACCTTGCACTTGCAAGGCAGCCAGCTGCACCACTGAGCTACATCCCGGCCCTTCCCTGCATCTCTTAGTTGTGATCGCTGACTCTCCTCATCAGCCAGTGAGTCCACTCAACAAACAATGCAGTTAAGAAACAGACATGTGGTTTGTCTATAAAATGGAGTACAACTCAGCCGTAGAGAATGAGAAACTAGAGTCATTCATAGGAAAATGGATGCATATTGAGGCCATACTCTTAAGTGAAATAAATAAGACACACATGTGTAAATACTGAGTAGCTTCTCTAGTGTGAAAAACTAAAAATGTAAATTGTATCCTATATACACATTGTATAACTGATATTGTGAAATAGGAAGAAAAGGGCTAAAGGTGTCGGGGAAGTGGGAAGAGTAGGGGAAAGGAAATAAGGGAAAAGAAAAAATATGAGAAAAGGAAAAAATGGAAACAAAGTCTTTGTAAATAGGGAAGGGTGGAGGGGGTAAAGGGAGGGCAGGGACAAGGGGAAAAAATAAGAGCCAAGATCTGTCATGTAAAGGTACAAGATCCCAATGATGAATGTAACTGTCCTGTATACTTAAAAAGTATCAAAAAACTCAAGATTTAAAAAAAAAGAAACTAACAAAAGCTTTCACAAAGGAAGATATTCAAGTGAAATAGAAGTACATAAAATGATGTTCAACCCATCAGTCTTTAGGGAAATGAAAATTAAATCCAGAATGAGAGACCGGGACAGGCACATGGGAATGTCTAAGTTACAAAGACGATACTCAGTCCTGTTAACAGTGTGGCCTTTAGAACTCTCGTACATTGCTGCGGGAATACAAAATGGTGCAGCTCCTTTACAAAAACAAGTGGCATACGATATGAGCCGTGGCATACGATATGAGTCAGCAATGTTACTCTTAGGTGTCTCCCCAAGAAACAAGAGAACATACATTCCCCTGAAGACTGGCACGTTAAGGTTCATCGCAGATTTATGTATAGAGCCCTCAAATGGGAACAACTCAAATGTCTGTGGCAGGTAAGTGGAGAAGTAACTCGATGCATCAGTGTTATTATGCTAAGGAAAGAAGCCAAACACAAGAGCATGTATCCTTTATATGAAATTCCAGGAAACACGAAATTATAGCAAGACAGGCAATGATTTCCAGGGTCAGGTGGATAAAGTGGGCTTCATTGTAAAGGGTTATGAGGGCTGTTTTTTTGTTTTGTTTTATTTTTTACTTAACATAAATATTACATATCATGATTAAGGTAGTTTTTGATAAGTAACTGAACAGTAAATTGAACATTTAAAACCGGGGTACTTTATTGTAAGCCAGTTAGACTCCAATGAAGAAGATGCTTTTTCTAAAAGCAAGCAAACATATCAAAGAAACAAATGAATAGCGCTTTAAAATTTAGCTTTGATAACTACTCATGTACGGTGAGACCAACAGACCAAAAGAGAATGCCACGGAAGGGCTGGCTTTGTTACGACTTGCATTCCAAGAGGAGGGGACCGTGCGGGCCACATGGGGAAGCCCCAGCGTTGGAAAGAGGGCGAAGAAACAAGGGAGAAAAGGGGAGGAGCCTTTACTGTGGTCTCGCTGAGAAGCAAGGCCAGGCAAGGTGAGCACTGCAAGGCCAGGCGTGATTTGTAATGTGACTGGGCCCTGTGGTTTAGGAGCTCTCCCTGACCGCCTGGTACCTGCTGTGGGGACATCAAGGTAGGCGAGTAGTGTCCCGGAGTGGGACAGCGTGACAGAGGTGGTCCCTGAGGTGTGAGCTCTCCCAGTCGCTTCGCATATGAAATTCGGGCTTGCGGCAAGTCTCTTAGTACCCTTGAGAACTGGATGGCCCCGGAAGGGCAGGCCCTGCGCGCGTTGAAGGATCAGAGACACAGAAGATGAAAGGCAGGACCAGTGGGCTGGGGATTTAGCTGAGCGGTTCCGCCGCCTGCCTTGCAAGCGCAATGACCCGAGTTCGATCCACGGTATCAAAACAAAAAACAAAAAAACCCCAAAAAACCTGAGAAAGGCATGACAGATGCAGACACAGCAGGGCACAGATCAACAGATATGTGATAAAGTACCTGCGGCAAAGTGTTCACTGTAGAATCTAAGTGTTAGGTAAGTAGGGTTCACTGCATAATTCTTTCATTTCCTGTATGTCTGAAAATTTCTATAACAAAAGTTGAGAAAACGTTGCTTCTTTAGATATCTCGCCTCAAGGTGGTTTATCAAAGCTCTGCTTCCCCACCCTTGTCCCACTGGCCTGGGCTCCAGGCCTACTGGCTTGGAATGTTACTGTTAGCTGCATCTCTTATCTTTTTTTATTTTTTGGTACCAGGGCTCGAACTCGTGACCTTGCACTTGCAAGGCAGCCAGCTGCACCACTGAGCTACATCCCGGCCCTTCCCTGCATCTCTTAGTTGTGATCGCTGACTCTCCTCATCAGCCAGTGAGTCCACTCAAGGCACCTGACTAGCCACAGCTGCCTCTTGCACATGCGGTACTGTGGAGCAGGCAGGGCCGGTCTGAGGAAGAATTGAATTAAGTGGGTTCTGTATTCAAATGCTCCTATCTTTAAAGACTTCCTCCCTCAGACTCCCGTCCAGCACATGCATGCATGAACCTGGTTGTACCTAATCGCATACCTCCCGCCTCCCCATTTTAGAGTTCTCACCCCACATACCTCAGAAAGGAGGCTTATTTGTAGATAGGAGCTTTCCAGAAGTAAACAATGAGGTCACGAGAGAAGGCTGTGATCTAATATGGCTGATGTCCTTATAAAAATTGGAAATCTGGGCGCAAAGAGAAGACTATGCAAAGAGTGATAAGGTGAAGCCAACCATCTACAATCCAAGGAACTCCCAAGGCTACCAGGAGATGGAAGAGAGACCTAGAACAGACCTTCCCCTACCACCTTCAGAGGGTGTGTTTGCTGCCAACACCTTGATTTTGGACTCTGGCCTCCAGAACAGTGAGACACATTTCTGTTCTTCTAAGCATTCAGTTTGTGGTATTTTATTATGGCTTTCTAAAGCTGGAGCAACCACCACAGTCTCTCCCTATCTTGTCCTACTCACCCAGGGCCCTTGTCTTCTCTGAGGTGCCCCACCCAGACTCAAAAGTCACGGGCAGTGTTTCCAGGACCCACCCATCCAAACTCTAGTTTCTAAATTGCCAGAAAGTTGTCAGAGAAGAGCTGAAATCTTAACTAAGCCAAAGTCAGCCAAAGAACAATGACTAACTCCATTCGAGTGTGTCCTAACTCTTCAGAACATTGGCCCGGCTGTTTGTTAACCCATGGGAATGAGCCTATAAAGATGAAATTTCAGGCAGCAAAAGAGATGGGAGAAGAAATAATCTTAGTTGAAATAAACATCTCATTGTTCCTCAAATCACATCAGTTAGATGGACAGAAGGGTCCACACTGGCAAATAGGAGTCTCAGAAAAAGGTATACATTATTGCATAGATCAACACACAAATGCCTGACTTCCTCCAAGATATTCAAATTTATAATGAACCAACCAAAAAATTCATACAGTCATAGGCAACCTCTGACCCCCTTTGCTTTTATGCCAATATTGGAAACACTAAGACCAGAATGGCACCATATAAAGGTGTTTTTCTGGTACTATTCACCAAGAGAGAGAGGCAGTCAAAGGACTGATCTTGTCTCCAGCTTGCAGAGAGGAGGAAACATATCCACACAGAGGATCAGAGACACATCTGTCACACCTGGCCAGGGGAAAGTATCTGGCAGCAATGAGAAGTGCGCAAAGTAGAGAAGTGACTGTTTTTGTTACAAGAGAGGATTTACATTCAATTTTAGATAAGGCATTTGAAAGCAGCATCCTAAAGAGAACAGGTCAATTTCTCATTCCCTGCAATGCCTTCATTTGTCTTCCAGGCTGTGGGAGTCAGGAAGAAGAGGTATTGTGTAGTCTCGTCCTTCTGCACAAGCATATTGGATTTTAGAGCCTCCCCCAGGTGGGTGTGGGAACATAATATGTTATGGTATTTATGCAGCTGAAGCTCACTGAACAGTGCCTGCAGCAGAGTAAACACCATCTACGTTCTGGTTAAGGGAATAAGAAAAAACAGCAAGAACTCGAGTACCTTCTCTTCAAATCTGAAGGATGATCAGAAGCTCATTTAAGGGTATCTCTGGTAAGGCTCAGACCTTTGATTGCTTGTGAACAAAACTGCCCACCCTAAAGCCTTAAAGCTACTTCATGGAATTTTAACTGGTATCTCTCCTTACTTCAATTTAACTCTTTCCATGACATCGCTGCTCACAAGTGCTGTCTGCCGGCAGGATTCAGTTTCTGTCAACAGGGAACAGAAACTCAGTGTCACATAACAGATCTGTAACCCTGCACCCCATAGCATCTCCCTCATCTCCGGTGACTCCAATTCAAAGGTGAAAAGCAAACTTGCAGCTGTTATTGGATTGGTAACACTCAGATGGCTCAAATGGCCATCAACTCCAGCCACGCACTCCATGTGTTTGGAGTATAAAGAGAAGCAAATTGAGGGTGATATTAACTCACTTTTTAAAAAGAATAAAGAATGAAGATTCATTTAAGAGAAAAGTTGGAGACGGAGGTAAGAGATGCCAGCAGAAGTGTCTGTCTTAGTTCATTAGGCACAGAAGAGAAAGAGGGCTCCTGATTTCTCGGGCTGGCTTCTCTCCAGAGACACCTGACAGTGCTTCCTGATTGCTTGGCTCGGTTCTCTCAGGTGGTGATTCCGAGAGATGATGCATTCCATTGGGAATTTGGGGAGTTGATTGGGAATTTGGGACTTGGCATCTCCAGTTTTTACATGTTTCCCCAGGTGATTCTAATGCCCCCTGTCCCCTTCCTAGTTCATTTCTCAGAGTGGTCAACAGGACACAAAATACTGACCACGGAAATTTGGAGTGAAAGGAGAACCGAGAGCAGGAGTGTCCAACCCATTGGCTGCACGTGGCTCTAGACAGCTAGTAACGTGGCCCACGATCATAAGCTTTTAACTTCATCCTGTGTTTTTTATTGGTATTTTTTGTTACTTGGTTGCACGGTCCTCGAGTTCGGACCATGTAGGGGACAATTCACAATGAGATGGGGGAGCTGACTCTGCCTCCTGGACCACATGGATACCAGACATTACCTACGCTTGTGCAACTTGGCAGGTAATAGGCAGAGGTCACAGTAGTAGTATCTCAGCCTATCTACATGTGTGTCTGTGGAGACAGGCACTCAGGTAGTGGACTTGTAAGTCTTATTTCCTTTGAATCAGATATTAACGTATTTGTTTCATAACAACAAGGTCAAACATCCCACTGGTTTTATATTTTTTAGCTCTCTCATTGTTATTATACTGAAAGTGTTTTAAATAAAGGAAGTTCTGCTACTTGTACACATTAACTGTATTGTATATTTTATATGTGACCCAACGCAGTTTTTCTTTGCTGGTTTTGCTCAGGCAAGCCAAAAAGTTGGACTGCCGTGCCTTGGAGGTTACCTTGGTGCCCGCTCCATCACACCAGATGAAGAGGCCCGGAGAAACGAAAGGAGCCGCCCAGAGTCACTCAGGTTGGATAAACTTAGCACTTCTCAGAGATTCAAGAAACAAGGACTTGTTCACCCACAAAACATGCGTAAAGCACACATTACTTATTTTGCCATTACACGTAGCATTTCCCAAAATAGCAAGGCAGCAATGTTCTAACAGGCTGCCACTGCCTCAGAAGTCTCTGTAGAGTCCAGACTTCCTGTTACTAAGTATACAGGAGACCTTCCTTAGGGCTGGTTTCATTTTCTATAGTTTCAGTGACCTACAGTTAACTATGGCTCAAAATAGTAAGAGGAAAATTCTAGAAAAAGACGATTCATAAGTTTTAAATTGCATGCCTGTCTAAGTAGTGCAATGACCACCAGTGGTCCCTGTCCCATCCAGTACCTGAATCACACCTTTGTCCAATGTATCCTTACTGTATGTTCTACTCTCCCGTCAGTCACTCAGGAGCAATCTTGGTTATAAAACCATCTGTCATCCTTGTGTTCAAGTAACCCTTATTTTGCTTAATAGTGGTCCCTAAACTGAACCTGATGGCATACGCCTATAATCCCAGCACTTGGGAGGCTGAGGCAGGAGGATTGCTTCAAGTTCGAGGCCAGCCTGGGCTACTTAGCAAGACCCTGTCTCAAAAAACCAAAAAACCCCAAAGCACAACTGTAGTGATGCAGAAGATTTGATTATGCCAAAGAGAAGTTCTAAATTGCTTCTTTTAAGTGAAAAATAAATTACACCTTACAAAGGAAAGAAAAAGTTATATGCTGAGGAGGCTAAGGTCTATTGTAAGAATGAATCTTCTGTGAAACAAGAAGGAAAAAGAGATTCATGCTAGTCTTGCTGTTACACCTCAAACTGCAAAAGTTATGGTAAGTGTTAGTTAAAATAGAAAAGGCATTAAATTTCTTCACGGGAGATATGAACACAGGTTCTAGTTGATGGTAACATATAGGATAAAGCACACAGTATACAGGGTTCAGTACTAGTCAGGCAATCAGTGAGGATCCTAGAAAGTCCTGCCCACAGATGAAAGGGGATTACTCCATTTTGGGAGTTTTCTCATTAGCTTGCTTTTCCCTTCTCTTCCCTTCCCTTCCTTTTCTTTTCCGTCTTTTAATCAATAATATTTTTAATCTCTCATGAATTCTATAGATAAGTACTTTGGGTAGGATTTAGGAGGGTAGTTCAGGATCAGAGCCTGTCTTTTAAAAACATTTTATCGAAATATAGTTCATACACCATAAACATTGTCCTTTGAAAGTGTACGATTCACTTAGAGTGCATCTCAAGTTCTGCTTGAGGGAGATTGCTGAGTCATATGGTATGCTGAACACTTTCGAGGTTCACCAAACTGTTTTCTAAAGCACTTTTCCATTGCTGTGTCTGAAGGATCCAATGGCTCTACACCCTCATCCCTGCTTATTTTGGCCTATCTTTTTATTCTACACATGTGTATTGTTTTACCAAGGGTCCTATAACAAAGATCCACAAACAGCTTAAACTGATCTGGGAGAAGTATAACTCCTGGTCTGTCAGGTGTCAGTATGCTGAGTTCAAGGTCCTACTGCATCAAAGAATGAAGTTGAAAACCAAAGGAAAAAGGAGTTTTATTGGTACTAAGGAGAGAAGAACAGCTCCTAGATTTCCGGGAGGGATCCTGAAAGGGATGGCCGCTGAGGGCCTTTGTCAGGGGTGGTTTGTCACAACATGGGTACAATATGGGTCACCTATCTAATATTGATCCAATAGGGAATGGATCACCTAGCAAGGGATCATGGGAAAAACAAAGGCATTTTGGAGAAGGAGAAGGTCCAGATGCTCTGGTCACCCACTTGGGTGACTGATGTCTCTCTGGACTTCCTGGGCCAAGGGGTGCTCATTACAGCATAATTTTAAGTTACTGTTTATCCCTCAGGAAGACAGGTAAGCCTGGCCCGTATCTGCATCTCAAGGCCTGGCCTTCTTCAGATGCGCCTCCAGCCACAGTTCTGATATCTTTATTTCTGTGCTGACTTCCTTGAGAGCCGAGTCCCTCTCTGGCTGTACATTCATTTCTATCTAACTGAGCTGCCTATAATAAAACCACAGAAATGTATTGGCTCACAATTCTGGAGGTAAGAAATCTGACATCAAGATGCTAGAAGGACAATACTATCTTTGATGATACTGGAGAGTTACTGGTGTTGGGTTTTCTTCTAGTTGTTGTGGTTCCTTGGCTTCTGGCAGCATCACTCCAGGGTTCACATGACTTCTTCCACATGTGCATGTCCACTCTACAAGGAAGCTACTCGTATCGGATAAGGGTTATGGTCTGAACATGTTTCCCGCTCAAATTCCTGTGCTGAGATTTAATTGTCAAAGTAATCGTATTGGGTCAGGGCTTTAGGCACCGTGAGGTTCACCTCGTGAACAGATTACTGATCTTATCAGAGGCCCGAGGCAGCCCTCTCCCCTTCCTACCAGACGAAGGCATGGCGTTTGTCTGTCTTGTTCTTGCATCACATTAGACTGTGAGGAAGGAACTATTCATGAGAATGACCCTCATCAGACACGGAATCTGTTAGCACCTTAATCTTGAACTTCCGCCCTTCAGAACTGTGAGAAATAAATTTCTCTTTCCTTTAAATTACACAGCCTAAGGTATTTTGTTATAGCAACTCTCATGGACTGACAAAGGCCTACCACGTTCTTATGTGACTTTTCCTTAGCCAATGAATTCTGCAATGATCCTGTTCCCACACAAGGCCAACTTTTGAGGTGACAGAGTTTAGGACTTCAACATATGAATTTTGCAAGGAAACAATTCATCCCATAACATCACCCTAGTGGATCAGAAAGGCTATTTCACTGGTGGTTTTCATTTGCTTTTCCCTATGACTAATAATGTTGAGCATCTCTTCATCTGTTTATCAGCCACATATATTTATGTATGTCATTATTAAAAATACATATTCAAGTCCTCTGTTCATCTGATTAAAGAAGTACGCACTTAAGTCCTCTGTTCATTTTAAAATTAGATTACTTGTCTTCTTGAGTTTTAAGAGTGTTTTTTTTAATACATTCTGGATATTAGACCTGTTATCAGGTATATGAGTGGCAAAGATCTCTTGTTCTGAGTGTTACCTTCTTGCATTCTTCACAGCATGCTTTGATACACAAAAAATTTATGAAATACAACTTATTGATTTCATTTTTAAGCAACACATTTATTGGCACATTTTGGATATGCATAATGATAGCACTCATCATAGCGAATTTGTACCTGTACATGATACATCTTGATTCTTCTTTTCTCCCCTTCACTCTTCCTTCAGGCCCCTTTGCCCTCTTTTACAAAAGCTTTGTTTCCTTTTTTCTCTTATATCTTTTTTTCTTCTCGCTTCCTTCCTTTCCCCCTACAACCTCCCTTGTTCCCCTTTTTATTTGAAAATTTTCTTTCCATTTCCCAATATCTTTTATATATTTTAGTCCTTATTTCCCCACTTTCAGTTTCTCACACCAGAGAAACAATTTGGTTTTTAGACATATGCATCTAATTTATTTCATTCAAGAGTGTGGTCTCAAGGTGCATCCATTGACTTAAAAATGTCTCAAGTGTGTCCTTCTTTATGGCAGAGTAGTACGCCACTTCTTTATTCATTCATCAGTTGATGGGCATTTGGGCTGTTTCCAAGATTTAGCCATTACAAACTATACTGATATAAAAATGAGTGTGCATATAGCAATGTGGTACGATGCCTTTAATTCTTTGGGGAAGATACCAAGACAGGGAACAGATAACTCAAGTGGAGCCTCTAGTTTTAGTTCTTTGAGGAATCTCCATACTGATTTCCACAGTGGTTGCACCAGTCTACACTCCCTCCAACAGTCGAGAAGGGTTTCTTTTTCCCCAGAGCCCCTCCAGTATTTGTTATTGGTTGATTTCTTGATAATAGCCGTTTTTTCTGGAGTGAGATGGAATCTCAGCATTGTTTTAACTTGCATCCCTCAAATAACAAGTGATGATGAACATTTTTTTCATATATTTATTTGTCATTTCTACTTCAGCTGGGAAGTGTCTATTCATTTCAGATGCCCATTTTTGGATTGGATCTTTAAATTGGGGGGAGTCTCTTTTTTTAGTTCTTTATATATTTTAGATCTTAATCCTTGGTCTGAGGAACAACTGGCAAAAATTTTTCCCATGCTGTGGGTTGTCTATTAACTCTGCTGGTGGTGTCTCTTGCTGTGAAAAAGCTTTTTAAATAAGAATGAGATCCCAATTGTTGATTCTCTGTGCTAGTCCCTGTGTGATCAGGGTTTTGTTCATAAAGTGTTTGTCTATACTTAGATCTTCAAGAGTTCTACCTCTTTTTCCTTCCAGGAGATTTAGTGTTTTGTTTTAATATTTAGATCTTTGATTCATTTCAATTTTAGTTTAGTGAGTGGTGAAAGATATAGATGTGGTTTTACTCTTTGACCTATAGAAAGCCAGTTTTTCCAGCACCATTTGTTAAAGAGGTTATCTTTCTCCCAATGAAGATATTTGGCTCCTTTGTCAAAGGTAATATGGCTGAGTATGTCTGGAGTTGTTTCTGCATCTTCTAATCTGTTCCATTGATCCTCGTGTCTGTTTTCCTGCCAGTACCATGCTGTTTTTAGCACAGTAGCTTTATAGTATTTTACTTTTTAAAATCTATTCATTTATTGTTTGTGCTTTTGGAGTATAGCAAATCCTCAGGCATAGGATTTTCTCCTATGTTTTAAATGCCAATGGAATACCAATACCATTTGTTGAAAACACTATTCTTTCCTACATTGAATTGTCTTAATATACTTGTCAAAAGCAAACTGATGTAACCTCGTACTATGGGGGTTCATTTCTGAATTCTCACATCTACTCCATGGACCAATGTCTCTATCCTTTGCTACACTGTCTCGATCGCTGCAGTTTTGTGGTATGTCTTGAAACCAGGAGATGTGAGTCCTCCATATGTGCTGTTCTTTCTCAGGATTGCTTTGGATTTCCATATGGATCAGC